CCTAGTTCTCTTATTAATGTAATATATCTTCTCTGTAACTTTCACCCTATGAATAAATGTGCTTGTTTAGAATACGTCTACACTACCAAGTTTTGTTGACGAAACTTATGTGAATACCCAAACGCGGACAAAAGAAAAATCGCCTGAGGGTGTTCATGCTTGCTCTGTCAACACATCATGTCCACCAGCGGGCACCATCAGAGGAAGTGTGAGCAGTGCACTGTGGGTATGTATCTCACAGTGAGTGTCGTGGGAAGGCACAGTTGATCCCTGTGCATCTTGGGATTCCCTCTAAGTTCTCCCACAGCATCCTCAGCCACTGAGAGCAGCATCCTGAATAGCTCTGTGAGCTCTTGGTCCTGAGGAATGTCAAAGCAGCACACCTTCTATCTCTCTCCTTGTTACCCAAACTGAGCAGCTCACTCAGCTGTCAGAAAGTACCCAGAGCTTTGAAAAGGGAGGGACGCATGTTTGTAGGGCAGCAGAGATCAAAACACTGAGCACAGCCATAAGGACAGGTACTGAGACACACTGCTGAAGCCAGTTCTGTAGACAAAAAACCCAGCAGAGTCTAGACTGTCTGTCGACAATAAAGGGTTGGGAAAAGAAAAAAGTCTCTTGTAGGACTGGAAGTTTTTTGTTGCCAACACTGGGAGTTTTTTCCCGACAAAAGTCACATTACAGTGTGAATGCTTTCACTGATTTGTCACCAAAAAGCAGTTTTTGGCAACAAAATTCAGTAGTGTAGATGAAAGTATCACGTAGTGACTTATACGAATGGGCAATTATGCTACTGAGAGCCTCTGAGGTGAAGGCACAGCAGCCTCCATAGGTGATCTTATTTTCTGGGGAATTCAAGGTAGACAGCCTAGAAAAAACCCAGTGAAGTGGGAGAGAGACACAGTCTCTGCCCACAAAATGAGACAGGTGGGGAGCTGGAAGCCTGAAAGTGGGTGCTCTTGGTGGACCACAGAGGAGGAATACTGGTACAATTATCCTGACCTGTGACATTTGCGTCAGGGGTTTTTGAGCGGTCAGTTATTTAGGAAGCTGAGGCTCTTCAGACTCCCTATATTCATCTAGTTCTAGTTTATCATTTTCCAGTATTATATCAGTCTCCTCCACAGCTTTCTAAAGAGTTGTAAGCAATGAAAATTAATAGGAAATAAGTAGTTTTATTTTGCTTCAAATCTTGCATCCTCCTTCCTTCCGCTGGGCTGACTATAGCACTGTCAAGAGGAAAAATGCCCTTTTCTGCACTTCTAAAGGTGCTGTGATAGGATGTGTCAACTTCTTTCCTGTGTAGCTCTTAATCAGGACGAGCTCCCTGGTGTAGTCCTCTTCATACCTCTTGGTAATTAGCAAGCAAAGGAGAATATTCATTTTTCAAAAAGTTCACCTAGGTCGAATTATTTCATTCCTCAAGCGAATTCATGGGCAACACCATGACACATACAGTATGTTAAGAAGGCTATTTAATCCAAGTAGATAATTATCAGTCAATTGCAAATAATATAGCCAGTAAATCCTGGCATAAAATAGAAGGTAAAACTTCCTGAATATTCAGGTCATATCATACCACTTAATAAAACATTTATATCACATTAAACTTTCACACAAAAATGTAATTATGTTTCTGTCATGTGAAAACAGTACAAAAGATCAGTTTTGAAAAGGTATAATTGGATTAATCATGTGCTACTTCATTTAAATTGTTTTATACTTCCAAGTGTATGTCAGTTGTAAACGAATGTCATGATTTTTTGCTTTATTAACTGTGTGGCTGTGAGCTATGGATAAACACTTCTCTCTCAGAACTTCAGGTATCCAACATGAAATCTTATTCTCACTGCAGTGAAACAAGTCACTCCTCTAAGTTTATATTCTTTATCGCTAAGTAAGTGCAATCCTATAATTCTGTGCTCACATGAGTAAAATTAAGTGTATACTTGTAAGATCAAGGCTTTAGTGATTGTGAATAACTTGTCCAGACTGTAAATTGATGCAGATATGCAATCTGCTGCTTTAAAAAAAAAATTCCTTTCTTCTAATACTCCTGGGTTACCTTCAGTTTTACTTAAGCTCATTCCTAATTACCAAATTCTATACTGATTTATATCCTGTGCAAACTCCCTGTATTGCAGGGAGCAGAGATGCAGGTTCTCATTGAAGAGGAGAAACATTGAGTCTTCTGCTGCCCAGTTGTAATCTGATTTAAAAAGACACATTAGTATTAGCAAACTAATTCTTTCTGTCAGACCCAACAAGTGACGTATCTTCACAGCACAAAAGGCGAACAAATTATTTGTCCTACTTTTTTGACTTTGCACAAGACACACACAGACGCCAACCAAAAATTGTACTTTGTCAAGTTTCAACTCAAATTCTGTTACTGCAAATGATCTGGCACAGATGTTTTGTATTGTTTGGAATGGCACTTCATTGCTGCTACATTTCAAAATAATCTGCTAATTGAAAAGGCAGTCATTTTTAGAAAAGGTGCTTTAATATATGACAATAGATCCAGATTTTAGTACAGGAAGGGAGGTAAAAAGTGTAGTGATGATTTCTGACAATCACTTTCCAGTCCTTTTGTGCTGCTAAAAGAAAGATCAATTTTTGATTTCTGATTTAAAAATTATTCTGAATAGTGTGCAGGGTTTGGGAATAGAGAGTTTAACACAGCAGGGAGTCTGCAGAAAAATGGGCTTGATCAAAGTTGTTCAGCAGTTAAATGTACAGTCATTAACGTAGAATAATGTAGCAAATTACAAGAATTCATTAGCGAACAGTAGTTGTCTCCTGCCAATGTATCCTGCTGTTTAAATAATGGAGTTTAATTGAGAGGTTTTAGAATTATTTTCTAAAGGAAGGAGAATAAATCCTATTGAAAATATTTGTAGAATAAGCCTCATTACACTGTTTTCCTTGCAAATGAGTAAGACTTTATTATCCTAAGTTCTTATAAAGAGAAAAAAAAATGATAAAGAGTTAAAGGAGAACCCCCGATATTTTGAATACAGTACTGTGGAAGTGCCAATCCATTCAGGTCAAATACCCTCCATCTTCTCATGTGCCTGGCAATGAAGGGAAGGTAGTCAAGGCAGGGGAGCCAAAACCCTGAAAACTGAAAGTAAATGTAATGATGTGGGCAGGAACTTATTCTTAAAAATGTTCTCAATTACACCCAACAAAGAAATTTTTTTTAAATAGTTACCGTAATTTGCGTGTGGTTATACTGGTCTACAAATAACAAAACTACAACCAGTATATTTCATGTCAACAGGAGGCACTTAAATATATTTTGATAAGATTTTAGGGCACTGCATGATATGACTTCTCTGAGCAAGTGATTAAAATTCCACGGATCTCTGCAACTATTGGAGGAGTAGCCATAAAGACAAGAAATGGACCCCACCAACCAGCAGTGCTTTCCTAACATCCTTGAAGAATCCTACTAGCAAAGGGAATGATCAATCTGTAAAGTTATGCTCAAAGCCTGATGAAATAAATCACATTACCTACGGTTTATATTTCTTTCTCTGAAAAGTGATTTAAGTCATCAACTGAGAAGCCAGCATTATGCTCAAGCTGCATTTCATTATTACAAAGGAGAGGATGCAACTCTAGACTTCAGCTGGAGCACACTCTCATTTGGGCTAAAGGACAATATTTAACAGATGTTGGTAATCTTTGTGTATTTCTGTTTATTGGCCTTGGTGTCATGGGACACAGAATGTTTAGAGGATCAAGGGAGAGGTAGATATGCTGGAGGATAGGGATAGGGTCCAGAGTGACCTAGTCAAATTGGAGGATTGGGCCAAATGAAATCTGATGAGGTTCAACAAGGACAAGTGCAGAGTCCTGCACTTGGGATGGAAGAATCCCAAGCATTGTTACAGGCTGGTGATCGACTGGCTAAGAAGCAGTTCATCAGAAAAGGACCTCCGGATTATAGTGGATGAGAAGTTGGATATGAGTCAACAGTGTGCCCTTGTAGCAAGAAGGCTAAAGACATATTAGGGTGCATTAGGAGGAGCATTTCCAGCAGATCTAGAGAAGTTATTATTCCCCTTTATTCAGCATCGGTGAGGCCACATTTTGAGTGGAATCCCCCCACTAGAAAAAGGATGTGGATGCATTGGAGAGGGTCCAGCAGAGGGCAACCAAAATGAATAGGGGGCTGGAGCACATGACCTACAAGGAGAGGCTGAGGGATTTGGGCTTATTTAGTCTGCAGAAGAGAAGAGGGAGGGGGGATTTGATAGCAGCCTTCAACTTCCTGAAGGGAGGTTCCAAAGAGGAGGGAGAGAGGCTGTTCTCAATAGTGACGGATGGCAGAACAAGGAGCAATGGTCTCAAGTTACAGTGGGGGAGGTCTAGGCTAGATAGTAGGAAAAAGTATTTCACTAGGAGGGTGGTAAAGTACTGGAATGAGTTATCTAGGGAGGTGGTAGAATCTCTATCCCTAGAGGTTTTTAAGTCCCAGCTTGACAAAGCCCTGACTGGAATGATTTAGTTAGGGTTGGTCCTGCTTTCGGCAGAGGGCTGGTCTTGATGACCTCCTGAGGTCTCTTTCAGCTCTATGATTCTATGATCTACAGAACCACAGGGCTGATGAATATTTGTTTGTTGTAGAGAGAAAAGATGATGGTGTTTGATCAAAAATCTCCAACAGGGCGGTGTACGGGGCGTGTATACGGTTAACACACCCGAGATGCTTTTGCCGCCAAAATCATTATCTGCACACAGTACATGACTGTGTACACTGCACTATGGTGCTGCACACAACACGAAAGTCTGCACCCGACTCTAGTTTTGCACCCAGCACTATGCCCTGCTTTGCACTAGAGACCCTTAGAGTTTTCCCGCCTTGAACTCTATAAAATCTAGAATCCTAAGGAGATCAGGTCAGCAGTTTTCTCGACCATCTTGGAGAAGGAGGTGTCCTGTCACAAGAGAAGACCATGGTGAAGGCCCAGTCTAGCTGACAGACCTACCTGATTCCATTCCTGCCACCCTCAGGGCGCTTCGGCCCACACTGTGGCAATAGCCCAGCATCGTGAGCCTTACCTACCTGATTTCTCCCTGCATCATCGGGACCAAAACAGAGCCTCAAACATTCTTCGGCACCTGCTATGGTGAAGGCCTTCACGGCGCTTAGAACCACTCTTTGCACAAACTGCGCATCTGTCCGTTGTGCAAGCAGAGACTTAACAGCAAACCAAGCGTCTCACCATATCCTCAGGGACGCCTCAGTGTTCCTCCCCTGACAGATACCTTAAGCTAAAGGGTTGAAGGTCCTGAACATCAAAGCTGCCTCTGATGGACTAAGTATAATATTCTGTTGCCAGTTATCTCTCTCCTATCTTCTTTTATTTCAGAGGGTGAGGGGCTGGGTTATCGATTCAGTGTTGTGTTGCTGTTACTTACTTGTTGTATCTTCAATATACCCTTTAACTTTGAATCTGAAACGTGTCCGTGTTTATTTAATGGGACTGGGGGGTAAATCCGACTGTGACAGATACGGTGGTTTCCAGGTCGGACCTCCTTCTGGGGACAAAGGCATTTTAACATCTAATCAGAGCGGGCCCCGTTAAATTTCGTTTACTAGTGCGCCTTTGCTGGTAACAATTTGGTCTAACATAAGGATGTAAAATTTAAATTAATCAGCTAATCGAATAGTTAATGGAATTTCCATCGACTACTCAATTAGTCGATAAAGAATAGGGTGGGGCGTTCGCTATCCCGGCTGCACCTCTGCCTTTTAAATATAGTAAGAGCTGCCCATTCCCTCTGCACCTCCTCTTTCTTTGCAATTTAGCAAGATTCCTGCAGGGCTCTTGCTACATTTAAAAGGCAGAGGCACAGCAGTTGGACTGGTGCAAATGGGGACTGCTTCAGTCCCTGCTGCTCCATTTCCCGCTGTGCCTCTGCCACCCCCACCCCATGGAGACCAATCCAGCTTCTGCTCCCTCTCCCCTTGCTGCCTCTGACACAGGGGGAAGCGACTAGTCATCTCGACTACCTGATAAGCCTGTGCTTATTGGGTAGTTGACTAGTCGCTTAGGGTATGTCTACACTACCCTCCTAGTTTGAATTTCCCGGGCTTCATTTGCATAAGCGGGGAGCCGCCATTTTTAAAACCCCGCTGGTTCAATCCAGCTTCTGCTCCCTCTCCCCTTGCTGCCTCTGACACAGGGGGAAGCGACTAGTCATCTCGACTACCTGATAAGCCTGTGCTTATTGGGTAGTTGACTAGTCGCTTAGGGTATGTCTACACTACCCTCCTAGTTTGAATTTCCCGGGCTTCATTTGCATAAGCGGGGAGCCGCCATTTTTAAAACCCCGCTGGTTCAAACCCCGTGAAATGAGGAGTAACAGTAGTTCGAACTAGGAAGCCTAGTTCGAACTACCTAGTTCGTGCCCCGTGTAGCCGCGCTGCACGGGGTTCGAACCAGC